TAAGAATAATCCATTGTTCGGAACTGTAAAGGATCTATTTTTATTTGTGTGCGCTCACAATATCAACAAAACGTTGTGCTTTTGTAAAATAAAGAAAACAAACACGATGCGCTTTCTGTCATCTCGGTCTTGAACAGGAGCGCTTCACAAAACTTCTCTCTAAAGGTGCATCTTATGAGGAGATGGCGAGTCAGGTTCGGCAACTTCATCCTTGCGACACCGACTCAGAAAACACTAGTTTATTAATAAATAATTCAAATATCTCCTTACTATTTCCCCCGGACACATTCTTGGTAATTACTTTTGCTGGGGCTTTGCCGCAAGCTTTAGCCAATTGCGTGCGTTTGAATGCGGAACTATTTTTTTTTCCCTCAGACATCGTAGTTCCATAGTTCCGGGTTTTTGTCCGGCCACATTTTAGAGTGGCCTTTTATTGTGGCCAGCCTAAGGCACACCTGTGCAATACTCATGCTGTCTAATCAGCATCTTGATATGCCACACCTGTGAGGTGGATGGATTACAACATCTAGTGGCAGCCCTAAAAGACACCCCATGCCTTCTTAGAATGGAACCCAGAGGAAGCATGTACAGGGAAAAAAGGGACCCCAATATCGAGCCTTGAGGGAGGCCACAGGTGAGATGAGTGAGAACAGAGGAAGAGAAGTTACCTAGTTTGACAAAAAAACAAAAAAAAATCTGTCAGATAAAAATTACTGAAACCACTTAAAGGGGTCATAGGATGCTAATTTCACTTTTACATGTTGTTTGAACATAAATGTGTGTTGGCAGTGTGTGTACACATCTACCCTATAATGATAAAAATCCCCCCAGTGGTTTTTATTTAATTCCCTAAAAATAATATCCCCTTTTTCAAATCAGGCCATTCTCAGCTTCTTGTCTGTGTGACGTCACGCTCCCACGATAGTTGATTGACAGTGCCGTCTTACCTTAGACCCGCCCTGAATGAGCTGTAACAGTCCGACCGCCATTGTTTCACCGCCGGAGCAGATGTAGATAAGAATGGCTCCTAAGCGATTGAGGTGTTCTGTTTGTTGGATGTAATAATGAACATAGCAGTCGTCATTTACTCCCAACATCTGAGCCGCTGAAGACGCAGTGGATTACTTTTGTTTGTGAAGGGAACACGACCCCAATCTACCTAAATGCGTTTATGTTCGCGCGAATCATTCGTGATCCAGCTTCACTTACAGCAGAAGTGAGTATAAGGTTTTTCATGAATCTTTGCAGTCGCTGTTCCTAATAACGTGCTAGTTAGCAAGTTTCGCGGCTAAATGCGGCTAAAGTAAACAGTCTCTCAGAGCAGGGTTCGTCACCCCACAGAAGAGAGGGTCAGCAGAGCTCAATAGCATTTAAAGCAACATGCAAAAAACGGCTTGATTTCTGCAGAGCTGATTTTGACAAGGTAAAAAGGGTATTTTTACACTACCATTGAGAAATTTTAACCAAAGTATGTTATAGACTTTTCATTATGACCCTAAAGAATAATATCAACTTGTGGAAAATGGGCATCCAATGACCCCTTTAAGGACCGTACCTTTTAAGTCCACGTCTGTCTCTAATCTAGATATCAGAATAGAGTGGTCCACCGTATCAAATGCTGCTGATAAATCTAAAAGAACCAGGACCACAGAATCACCAGAGTCGGTAGCTAAACATATATCATTTAACACTCTGAGAAGGGCCGTTTCAGTACTATGAGCAGATTTGAAACCAGATTGAAAAATTTCAGGAATACAGTTACGATTTAGAAAGAACTGCAGTTGGTCAAACACAATTTTTTCTAAAACCTTTGAGATAAATGGCAAAACAGAAATGGGACAAAAGTTATTCAGGATAGAAAGATCCAGTGAAGGCTTCTTGAGAAGTGGAGTGCCAGTAGTCACTTTAAGAGTAGCAGGAACAGAGCCAGTTAAATGGCACTTATCGGAAAAAGACACCAAACCTGGCCCGACAGTCTCAGCAATTAATTAAAAAAAGTTAGGGTGTATAATGTCATAAGGACAAAAAGATGGTTTAATATTAGCAATGATGTCTTTGAGTGATTGTAAAGCCGAGAAAAAGGAGGGGGTTCAGTGTGGAGAGAACAGACTTTGGGTCCCAAATTAGAGATTTTGTCAATAGCCGCTTTTCCACTGTGGGGCCAGTGCGAGCCAGTGCTTTAAACGGGCCGGGCGGGGCTAATAGCCTCGGACCTGTAGCACAGAGCCCAAACTCACTATGCGTTTCCACCGTCAGGCCAGAAGCTCCACAGTGCTTCACTAAAACCTGCCCTTTACACGCCTCTCTGGAACAACGTCACGCAACCCCATTATTTCACCAACAAAGAGAAGTCAACAGAAAACGAATCAGAAATAAATCACTGGAACCAGTTGCGCGATCACAAAACGAACATGATAAAAGTTATTTCAAACACTTGCTGGTTTCTGAAAGTGAGTTTTGAGCTAAAATTATTTTAAAAGTCTTTAATGCTGGTGTTATAGCTGTTAACTTGATCCGCGGCGCTGACGCTCTCCAGACGCGGAGAAACTACGCCTTTGTTCATAACCACTCCTCTAGCCCCATTTGGCCCGCTTTGGCCCAAGGTTTTCGTTGGGCAAAAAAACCCGGGCTGTTGGCCCCGAGGAAGCACCGACGAGGCACGATCAAGCCCCGGAAGTAACCGTTGAAACGCGACTGGCCCTGGAACGCACTAGCATGCCCGCTTTTGGCCCGACAGTGGAAATGCGGCTAATGAAGTTTCTTAAGAAGCTTTCACATAGAGCATCGGATTCAACAGGCACTGTATTAACAGAATGATTAACAACTGAACAACAGAATTAATAACTGAAAACAGAACTTTAGGAGTAGAATGTTTTTGTTTTTTTTTATTAAATCAGAAAAATAAGTAGCCTTTGCAGATTTGGCAGCAGACTGATACAGAATGCAAAATCATACAAAATGCATGTCATTGTTTATTTAGTACTGACCTGAATAAGATATTTCACATAAATATAGTCCACAAAAGAAAATAATAGTTGAATTTATAAAAATGACCCCGTTCGTGTTTCTTAATACTGTGATGTTACCTGAATAATTCACAGCTGTTTTTTTTTTTTGGTCCAACTTTATATTAAGTGGCCTTAATGACTATGTACTTACATAAAAAAAATAAGTACAATGTACTTACTGTGTTCATATTGTATTGCAAAACACTTTTGCTGCTATGGAGGTGTGATACAGGTAAGGTTAGGGACAGGTTTGGTGGTATGGGTAGGTTTAAGGGTAGGTTAAAGTGTAAGGGATGGATCAACAGTGTAATTATAAATGTAATTACAGAAATTAATTACAGATGTAATTGTATTTAATTTTATTGTAAATATGTTAAATTTTTTACTTAAAATATAAGTACAATGTAAAAACATGTATGTACACAATAAGCGCATTGTACTAAATTATTAATTTAAATGTAAGTACATAGTTGTTAAGGCCACCTGATATAAAGTGGGACCGAAAAATCCATCAGGTGCCACAAATTCTTTGGTTTTCCAGTATTTTTGTCTATTTGAACCCTTCCCAACAATGACTGCATGCCTATATATCTTTTTTTTCTTCATTTAATACTGCCCTTCAGAAGCTACAGAAGATAGTTACATGTTTCCCAGAAGACAAAAAAAGTTAAATTTACCCCGATCTTCAAATTCAAAGAGTTTTCACCCCCCAGCTCTTAATGCATGTTTTTTTTTATCTAAACAAAAAATACGCTGTGGATCATTCAGGTAACAACACAGTATTAAGAATCATTAAGAATCAATTAAGAATTTTTTTATCAAACTATTATTTTCCCTTTTGGACTTTATGCAAACATCTTTTATGTGAAATACCTTATTCAGGTCAGTACTAAATAAAAAATAACACGCATTTTGTATGATCTCTCTTATGTCTGAAAAATAGCCTAACATTTTGCAGATTCTGAAAGGGGTGTGTAAACTTTTGACCTCAACTGTACATTAAAGGGTTAGTTCACCCAAAAATTAAAATTAGGCTGCGTTTTTCTCACCCCCGAGGCAACCTAGCATGACGTATGAGGTCAGCGTTGCGCATGCACCGGTGATTCTCGTGAAAACCAACTTTTGTTAACAGGATCAAAGGAAGCAAAGTTTCCTTACTTTAGCAAACCAGTCTCCTCTTGGCTTATATCGAAATCCTCCAACAGTCTTCTTTACAAATCCTCATTTTGTACTTCTAATTAGTGACCATTGTTTTGTTTTGATCTCTCCCCTGCGATCAAAGACAGTTTTTAATATAACTCCGACTGGATTCGTCTGAAAGAAGAGAGTCATATACACCTAGGATGCTTCGAGGGTGAGTAAAACACAGGCTAATTTTCATTTTTGGGTGAACTAACCCTTTAACAATAATTTGGGACAAATACTACTATGTGAGTGGCGCTCTGTGGTGCGGCAGGATTTTGAACAGCGCCCAGAGTAGCAGCTGGGATCCGCGGACCGTCACCGGTGTGCGTGCACTCATAGAAAACAATGTGTGTGAATTTTAAAGACGTGGTGGAGAGCAGCACTGCGCTTCTCGTCCGGTTTGTGACCACATTAAGGCTGGAGTAGCCTCTTGTTTCAGAGGTGGAATTGTCAAAGGTGACTTTGAGAAGAAGACACTGTAAGCTAGGCTGGTAGTTTACTATTTCCACCGACGAGGGTAGAGGGAGAGGGCCAAGGTTCAAGAGTCACGGTTCGCCACTGTAATATAATATAGTAATGTAATGATTTACAAAGAGACAACACTTAATGCCTCTTTGACTTATTGTTTATTTTGGCAAATCTGCTTTTCCACACAGAAATTCAGCTGGAATATTCCCATCAGATTACAGATGCAGACGAGCATCAAAGCATCAGGAAGAGCTGAAATCTGCAAAGACTGAGTTTATTAAAGAGGACAGAGAGAAGATGAGAGATCCAGAACCCTGCAGAATCAAACACACTGAAGATACTGAAGAACAAACAGGTTGGTCTTTATTCTTGATTCGTCATTAATAATGCTGACAGTTATAAAGTTTCAGGCAGTTTTATATTGTGTTTGTTGTAATTCGAAAAGTCTTTAGAGCTGTTGAATAATTTTGCTGAAGCATCAAATAATAAGGGACACTTTCTATGAACTGGGTACTTTTTTTTTCAACAAAATGTATGTTAGATTGAGTCTCCATGCCAGATAGTTAAGATCCAGTCCCGGATGCCAGATCCTGTCAGAAAATATCTATTTTGTCTGGTGTCCGAACAAATAGTCAGCAGGGTAGTCGATACCCAAAACCCATTAACATCAAGTCTTGTCTGGTACCAAACTGTCAACCAGTTCGTATTTGGAACACAATTTAAGATATTTTGGGATGAAAACCGGGAGGCTTGTGACTGTCCCGTAAATAACACTGTCAAGGCCCAGAAAAGTTTGAAAGACATCATCAGAATAGTCCATCTGCCATCAGAGGTTCAACCATAACGTTCCATTTTGGAGAGTATCCGCTGGTTGCAAACTGCGTATGCTGTTCTGTGTCAGCCGCACCACACGGATACGCTGTTTTCATTCAAATCAAAGTGTAAATAAACATAGAAAACGATAACTCTATTGTGAAAAAGGCCCAGCAGAGGTTGTACTTCCTTTGCCAGCTGAATGTTTGGATACTTCAGGCATAGATGCCCTACTTAATCGTCCTTCAACCCTCAAAACATCTTCAAGAATGGGACAAAGTCCATAGATATGGCTACTCTTCTTTACACTTTCAACTCTTTTTAGGCTAGCAAGCTCATCAGGAAACATCTTTTCTTGAGAGAATCGAATAATCTCCAGTTCAGCTGTTTTAAGTTCTCCTGTTGAGAGGTAATGTTGTTCAACTTGATCTTTGAAAGTCTCCATTTCCCTTTCCAAAGAACCATCTTGTTGTACAGTCAAACCAGAATCATCAAGAGCGAAGCTCAGTTGTTTCCTCTTCTGACTAAGAGACAAGAATAGATTGTTAAATCTCAAAATCCAAGCCACTGCTTTTTTCAGATGGAACCAAGAAGAAAAAATATGAATTAAACGTGCAATTACATCATCCTCTTCTTTGAGCTGTATGGAATTAGTCTATGCCTTTCTTGACCTCAGGGTCACTTACTTCAAACTTTTCGAGGTCAATGAGAATGTTAGGCCACTCACTTTCAGGACAAATAAGAAAGGCAGGACCTGATGTCCATGTTTTGTTCTCAAGGAATGCACTGACAGCCGATCCTCTTGAAGCTACTTCAGCTGGATTGCTTGCTGAGTCTACGTATCTCCACTGTGAGGCTTGTGAGGCCTTGAGGATTTCTGTCACCCGGTTGGCTCCAAATATTCAAAATCGGGAAGTCTCATTCTTAATATACTTGAGAACAGAAACACTCCGTCCAAAAGACAGAATCTTGGAGCTCCAGATGTAATTATTTCTTCCATAACACATCCATACGACTTGGCATGGTAGCAGCAATGATAAAAGCACAATATGCTTGAGAATGTGCATTATGTTACAGCAAATATGTCACAGTTCCATATCCGTCCTTGCTCACATCTGAAAAATTATGCAACTGTGCGGTAGTGACATCCCCAAACTTTGGAGGTTTTAAATCTTGCATGTTTAAAGTTTTCCAGATGGTGAGTTCTTGCAGCCAGCTGGTCCATTTTTGAACAACCAATTCAGGGAGAACATCATACCACCCCAGATTTCCTTTGCAGAAATCTTGCAAGATTTTCTTAGCGGACAATACCACAGGACTCACAGTTTCTAAGGGATCATAGATGGAACTGATTATGGATAGTATTCCTCTTCTGGTCAGAGGTCTTTCTTTAATTACAATCTTAAACTTGAATGCATCGGACTAAATACACCACTTCACCACCAATACTCTCTCAATTGATGAAGAATCCCGCTCCATGCTCAAGACTTTCATGGTCTTTGCTCTTTATTACATCTAGCACTTGACGTCTATTGCTCATCCATTTTGTGAGGTTAAAGCCACCCTTGGCACATATGGAGACAAGCTCCTGATACAAGATTTTCAGTAGAAGCAACTGAAACAAGACAATCATCAACATAAAAGGAATGTAGGACTTTTGTAGTATCCACGGCTTCTTTGCTGAACTGCTCTTTATGGTTTTCTGCACATTTTCTAAGAGCAAAGCTTGCGCAGCCAGGAGAAGTCGTTGCTCCAAAGAGGTGTACTAGTATTCTAAAGTCAACTGGATCTTGATTTAAGTCTCCATCAGGCCACCAAAGAAACCTTAACAAATCAACATCGTCGGCTGGCACCTTTTCTTGATGAAACATTGATTCTACATCTGCTGGATCCTTTCTGAATTTTGTCACTACTCCAATGAGTGAGCTGGTGAGGTCTGGTCCTTGCAAGAGTTTAACATTAAGTGATGTTCCTTGAAAACTCGCTCAACAATTAAACTACACGGATTTTCTTCTTTGTGGGATGGGTAGACACCATGATGCGGAATATACCAGATCTTTCCATCACTACGTGTCAAATCCTCTGCAGGCACTTGCTCTGAATAACCTTTGGAGACCATATCCTGCAGAAAGGCTTTATAGTCAACAAGAAAGGCAGAATCCTTTTGAAGTCTTCTATTTAGATGTAGAGCATGTTGTTCCACAATTTTTTCGATTGTTTGGCATGTGAACTCTCTCTCAGAGGTAAACCAATTTCGTAATGCCCATCATCAAGTGTGGCAGAATTTGTCACCATTTCCATGAATCGTTGATCTTCCTTTGAATAGGCAATTTGTTCATCTTGTTTGCATTCTGGGAAATCCATTTTGAGCTGCTATTGCCACACGTCTTCCAAATTCACCACTGAAATTCTGTTAACCGTGACTTTTGGCTGTCCACTGTCTATTACATTCTCACCATCTCCATAGAGTGGTCCATTCACGGTCCATCCCAACATTGTTCTGATTGCATAGGGCCCATCATTTACACTGCTGATTACCTCCAATGGAGTCCACAGAGGCCCAAGACACAGGATGTTCGTAAATCAGATACTGTGTTAGGTTTATATTCAGTGAACATATCTCCTATGTATTTAGGTCCTAGGCCATTGAGTGATTTATAAATGAGTAAAAGTACTTTAAAAGCAATCCTAAATATAACTGGAAGCCAGTGTAAGGACCTGAGGACTGGTGTGATATGCTCAGATTTTCTGCTTCTAGCCAGAATTCTGGCAGCAGCGTTCTGGATGAGCTGCAGCTGTCTAATGGTCAGTACCAGCACTGATATTTTGCCAGAATCAGAATGTAAGCGAATTTAATTTATTAGCTTAATGAGCACTGTCTCTGTGCTGTGATGCGGTCGGAAACCAGATTGAAAATTGTCCAGGTATCCATTTGAGTTTAAGTATTTGTTCAGCTGATTAAAAACTACCTTTTCAATAATCTTGCCTATAAAAGGAAAATTTGATATTGGTCTATAGTTGCTCAATGTGGTGTTATAAAGATTGCTCTTTTTCAGGAGGGGCTTAACAACTGCAGTTTTCAGGGAGTTTGGAAAAGTCCCAGAAAGAAATGAGGCGTTCACCACTTCTAAGAGATCTGCTTCCAAACAGTTAAGCACCCTTTTGAAAAAATATGTGGGAAGTGTGTCAAGATAGCAGGTTGACGATTTAAGGTGCTGTACTATTTCTTCCAAAATTTTGCTATCAATTCCTTCAAAAGCAGACATAGTATCTTCTATGCTAATCGCCTTCCTGATATTATTGATCTTCTCAGAAAAGAAGGAAAATTTATTAGCTTAATGAGCACTGTCTCTGTGCTGTGATGCGGTCGGAAACCAGATTGAAAATTGTCCAGGTATCCATTTGAGTTTAAGTATTTGTTCAGCTGATTAAAAACTACCTTTTCAATAATCTTGCCTATAAAAGGAAAATTTGATATTGGTCTATAGTTGCTCAATGTGGTGTTATAAAGATTGCTCTTTTTCAGGAGGGGCTTAACAACTGCAGTTTTCAGGGAGTTTGGAAAAGTCCCAGAAAGAAGTGAGTTGTTCACCACTTCTAAGAGATCTGCTTCTAACCAGTTGAGCACCCTTTTGAAAAAATATGTGGGAAGTGTGTCAAGTAGGGCTGGGCGATTTTCCAGATTTTATCGATTAATTCGAATTTATTGTTTTGCCACGATTTTATTTTTTAGAAATCGATGAATCACGATTTTCAAGAGAATTATGACCAAATGTTAGAATTAGACACTTTGACAATATGCCGGTGATAACAGTCAAGAGAAAAGAACGATCCAACCGCATGTCGGCGCACGTGATTAACCGCTCGCGTGTGACGCGCTCTGTGAAGGACCATAAATATAAGCTAAGCGCCATTCACACAGAATGCGCTTATGTGTTGACAAAGATGCGACGCGGGCAGTGGAATAGGTAAACATGCAAGAAGATGGGAGTGAGCTTATTTTAACTTGAGCGCAGTGTTTTTAGAATGGCGTTTCATGCATGAGACGCTGCAAGAGACGCGAGAGCAACAGTCAAACACATCCATGCTTACACAGAAAACACAATGGAAAAGCAGCGCAATCGAATAAAAAACCTGCAAAGAACTACTACTCTATGTCTGATATTTCATGTTTGCATCATGGTGACTGACTGAAAGCTGCTGTTGTTTTTAAAGAACATTTATAGTTAATAAAAGTCTACTGGTGTTATACCTTCAGTCATTTTCAGAATCAGAATCAGAAAGAGCTTTATTGCCAAGTATGCAAGGAATTTACATACAAGGAATTTGTTTTAATGACATAAGCTTCCAGTACACAGAGACCACATCAACACACAGACAATAAAAAATAAGATGAGAATAATAATAATAAAAAACATAGTAAATATAAATAGACAAATATTGAAAAATAAATCGAAAAATAAATTAATTGTATGTACATTTGTGCTATAGATGATAGAATGGAATAAAATGAGATGCAGGGATGTACTAGGATGGAGGTGG